AGGCTGCTGCAACGCCATTTCCCTTCTTTGTTTGAGCACCTAGCAGCCGGCTTGCTTGAATTTGCAATGAATCCTGGGATACCCAAGGCTACGGAGGATACAGCGCAGCGCCGGTATGTGGGGGTCTGAGCGGCTCCCACAGAGAAATAATCTTTGAAGGCAGGATGGTAATCTGGATGAACTGACTGCACAGACCATGTTTTCAGGAGGACTTTCTCACTTCAACATAGATTCTAACTACTTTCTACCCGCTGATCACAGCTAATATAGCTGCCATTGTTCCATGCAGAGAAAGGATAGAGTAGCTCCGCCCACTGCGCATCAGACCACAGCTAGAGCAGCAAAGATGCTTCAGCTGCTCGTCAGAACTAAACTTGTACATGCATCAAAAATGAAGCAGCACGCACGTTTTTGCTGCTCCTGCTTCTTGCAGTCTGAATTTAGCAGTAATCTAAATTCTAGTTCATTTCAAGTTGGCATCCTCCTGTTTCCATAAATGTCTGGCCTGGATCAGAGGAGTCATTTTTAATGAAGTACCAGAAAAAAGCTTTGATCAAAGAAGCCTAGAAACCCCCGAACGGATGAGGACGGACTGATATCAGCCTTAGGAGAAGGAGACTCACGTCGGCACCCAGACAGAGGGGATCCATAAGTGTTGTCTGCGCATTCAGTGCATGTTCTCCCTCCAAAGCCTGCTCTGCATTCACACCGGCCTGTCTTCTGCAAACAAACAAACCGACAGTGTTCTAGTGTCCTTCCAGGTGATAAAAGGTGTTTTTCTTACAGTTAGTCCTAAGCAGACGCTAACATTTATACTTCTGGCAATTTTCTGTTTTCCACCAAATTTATTCTAATAAACTAATTGTGTGTATTTGGACCCCTGCTAAATCCTTTAATGGTAAAAAGCCGATTAAATTCAAGTCTTTTTTTCTAAATTGAAATGTGTTTCTAAAAGCTTTCTGACACTCATTGGACAAGAAGCCTTTTCTACAGTCGGCTGTCGGCAGTGCAGGTCCTACCGGGTCACAGGTGTCACTGATCGACCAGGTGGGGTCACAGCCGCAGGGTTCACAGCGCTTTGACTGCGGTGGTCTCCAGTAGCCCTCTGAACACTCGTCACAGGTCAGGCCATGGAAATGGGGGCGACAGGGACACATCCCGGTCACAGGGTCACACAAAACGGACAGGGAGCCGACTGGAGAACAGGAGCACTCTGCAGAGCGTGAGAAGAAGGTTAGAACTATTTCATTTTGGCATTTGACCAATTAGATTTTGTATTTTTTTTATTTTTTATTTTTTTTTGTATTTTATATACTCTAATAATCCCAGAGGGAAATTACTTCTCTGCATTTAACCCATCCCCTTGGGGAGCAGTGGGCTGCCATTGTGAGGCGCCCGGGGAAATATGATGAGCCCTTGGATGAAATATTACCTACTGGAAATGAAGTTGGAAAAAAGTTAACAAGTCAAGACAAAAAGGTAAAAAGCTATGTGAAAAATTCAAAAGTAAAGTTAAAAATTTGATAAGCTAAGTTACAAAAATAAAAAAATGTGTGTATTAGCATTAATGCTCTAAGGCTATGCTGTACCAAAACGAATGTGTTTCTTCTTTTTTCCTAATATACGTGACTCCATCCTGGATAGAAATATCAGCTGTGCCTTTGTTTATATATGTTCAATATGGATGTTTTTCCAGTGTAGTCCTGTTTC